GACCAAGGAGCTTCATATCGTGGGCGTTTCACATGTTACACTCCCTGTGCAGCAGGCTTCATGCCGTGCAGCGCGCTATCGTGCGGTGAGCTGTCACCTTAGGCCCACGTGGTTCCTTTTGACCCAAGCTTTGCGTGGACCCTGCTTCCTTCTCTCAGTGTATTCAGTGTTGGCGGTCATTTGGCTGTTATTTGCAAGCATGGCAGCTGGCACCGCACGGATGTCTGCAGCACAGGAGCCGGGTGGCCCCCTTTTCAAATTAGGGCCACCCAACACCGAAACATTCGAGCAGGCGCATCCACGGCCTCGTCTCCCACTAGGCTGCGGCCTTGTCAGGGCAAACGCCGCAACGCCAACCCTCTGGGTAATCAGGGCGCTGTTTGTGAATTTTGAAACAAGTTCAATCCAAGACATTGTCCCATCCTGTCAGTCCTTTTGATGATTGGCTCTGTCGATGGCTTCAGCATTTCCACATGTTTGGCAACACTCCGTCTGCTGCAAGGCGAGCCGGGGGAGCAGTTCAGACATTCCCAGAGTGTCCGCTTCTTCTTGGCAGTTGGCAACACTTCCGGCACAGCAGGTAGCAGTGCACACTGACGAGTTAACCGTGTAATTATATCTCGTCAACCCCGGACACATCCCGCAATCCGCAGGAGCAGATGAGACGTGAGATATGGAGAAGTTCAATCCCGGCGAGAGGCGCTTTTTTGCCTGCAGTTCAGATGTAGCCGTCGGCCACTTTGTTTGCCAGTCGAGCCGCTGTGTGTCTGTGTGCGCTTCAAGCAGGCGTGGTCACGTTCGCCCAATGACAGCTCAATGTGCGCGCACGGTGTCCAAAACGCAGAGCCCAAGACGCGACTTTTGGCCGGATGATGACGCGTTGTGTTGCAAAGTGCTCGGCCCCTTGGCTGCACGCTTGTGAGAAGAGCCCTGCAGATAGCCCCTGTGGCCAGACCAGGGTGGTAGACACGAGCCTGGACCGTTTGAAATGAACAGGCGCTTGCCAGGCGCGCCGTTGGCGCGTACCATTTGTGTCATGGCTGGTGGGGCATCTATCCTTTCTCCTTTCTTGGCCCTCTACGATCAGACACACCGTTCCGGAAGAGCCAAAGCCGAACGTAGTAGACGGAAGTGCGGGGGCGCAAGCCGAAAGAAGCAAAGCGCGGCTGTTTGGAAACCAAGGGGGAACCGAAACGAGCTGTTGAGGGAAGCCACATTTGCGAAATCGAATTGCCAAATCGTGGGGAAACACATTATGTAGCAGAGAGAGACACAGAGAAAGATAGACTTAGAGGGGGACTGACCGAGACAGAGAAAGACAAAGAGATTCAGAGAGACAGAGACTGACAGAGACAGACAGACACAGACAGAGAGAGTGAGAGAGAGACAGAAAGAGATGCAGAGAGAGCAGAGACAGACAGAGAGAGAGAGAGCGCGAGAGAGACAGAGAGAGAGAGAGAGAGAGAGAGAAGCTAAAATACAATTGTATTTGGGCACCTTGGCCGCCCTGCATTATCTCATTGTTTCAGGTGGGATACTTTGCAGGTCACACAAAGCAGCCAGCTGCATAGAGAACCTTCTTGCTGTCCATTGACCGAAAACTCGTGGAAACCAAGAAATCACAAGAACCCCCAAGAAAACTAACAACAAAAAACAAAGCCCTTGGCAGAAGGTTGTCGGCTTAGCACTTGGACATTTGCATGAAGGCATTGGTTTTTGTTTCTTCCGGTTTGTGTTGTTTGTTTCCGCGTGTCAACTTTCATAGTTCCTTGCGCCTAAGCATTTGGGTTGTCTGCCTTGCAGGACCCTGCTCACCCATCAGACGCGTTGGCATTGGCAAACACGTGGGGTTGCAGCTGATATTCAGTGGCCGACATGAAGCTTGTAGAGGCCAGAGCTGCAAGGGCGGGGGAGGCGCAAATTTTCTGGCCGCGAGCCCAACGACGCACAAGACCAAAATGGCTCACTTCTTTCGGGTAGCAAATTGATTGCCACCAGCTCCCAAACAGAAGGGCCCAAAAACTCAGCCACCTTTATCGCACCGCCCTGTTCCTCAAGCGCCTCCTAATTCAGGGCCAAGGAGAACCTGATTTCAGTCAGTTTTCGCAGTTGAGCTGATTATGTTGTTAGGGCCAGAGGCCCTCCTGAAGCTTGCCAGTCCCTATGTTTGTACCCCCGACAAAGGGAGAAGGGGGCCAATTTTGTTAGGTACAACCCCAAACTTTCTAACCCCGAAAAGCTTAAGCATATCAGGGGAGGGCAGGGGTTGTGTTTAAGGCGCCCTGTCTGTTTTCAAGCAAACATCCTTGTTCGGGTGGTGTTTCAATGCTGACGTGTTGTCGTTTTTTCAAAACCTGACAACAACTCGCGTTTCAAACAGCAAAAGACCAGGGTTGGGGTAGACTTGGAACAACCACTCCCCCTGGGGTTGTATTCAAGGAGTTGGGCGCCCAAGGAGATTGAGCTTGTACCTAAAGAGTTTGGGCTCCCCCCTACTCTGGGGTAGAGATGTAGGGGCTGGGAAGCTTCAGGGACACTTGATGCCTATGAGCTTCGGCTGGGAGTGAACAGCATTCCTGGATGTTAACCCTCCCTTCAACTCCAGACCGAGATGATCTTGTAATCTTGTCAGTCCTGAATTATGAGTGTACTTTGTGTACGTCCCTTTTGCGTTTGAGACGCCGCGCGCGCAGTGCAAGGCCACTGAAAATGTGTTACAGCGCTGGCCTTCTGCGCCTGAAACAACGAACTTTCCCCGATTTGCACTCTTGAAATCTAAGGACGTACTTTGAAGCACACACACACACACACACACCGAGAACATGTTCTGCCAATGTCCTTCAAGATTTGTCGCGTCCTTCCTAACGCGCAGCCCCCTGTTGAAGACAGATCCGACCCCTGGTTTTCACTTTTGTGGCGTAATTTTATGCGGAGCCGGAGGAAGTCAAGGAGGATCAGGAGGGGACCCTTTTCCGGATCAGCCTCTTCATTTGCTGCGGCAGAGGTAGTAGACCTCACTGACCTACTAAGAAGGGCCGC